TTGAGGCGGGCGGAGGCCGGCTGGGCGGGGAGGGGGCGCGCCCTGGGCCCTTCCCCGACCGTGGGACCCTGCTAGAGCGGGCCGCCTCCTCCCACCACGAAAAGATCTTCGTTGATTTGGCCCATCGTAAGCACCTTTTGTTATTTTCAGAAATTGAAAGTGTACAGAAAGTAAGAAAATTAAAAACCCTTCGGAAATCCCCCTCATTGTAATAACAGTTGCAGGAGTAACCAGACATCTCAATACACACACGTATACACAGACACTAAACAGGATCACGCTACTGGACCTTTCTCTGTTAAAGTTATTTTACCATTATGTCATGTTAAGTAATATTGTCATTGTTTTAAATGGCAGCGTAAGTATTCCATTGTAGGAAGTGCCATACCTAACTAACCCTCGCCCTGGAGAGTTCAGTCGTTAAGGGTTGTTCACTACTATAAATGCCAACAAATGAATAGTTCTTGCCTTGGCCTAGACTTACTCGCTACTCCTGCCCCCCTGCCCTTCTGTAAGTAGTTCACACGTTTTTGGAGGCTATGGAGATGCTTGCCCAGGGCGTTCTAATTAGCCCAGTTCCTGTGATTACCCAGCATAAAAGGAAAAGGTACATTTTTACTTAATTTTTATAAATCAGCATAAAGTGTGTACTCTGGAGTCTTTGTAAGATGGTTGTATCGGGACAGCAGTCTTTCTATAATTTTATTTATCTTTTTTGTTCTTTAATTGTTCATATAACAGAGTAAGCAGGAAATTCACAGGAGGTCTGCTCGGCTGAGAAACACTAAATACAAATCTGCTCCAGCTGCTGAAAAGAAAGTTTCCACCAAAGGAAAAGGGAGAAGACATATTTTTAAATTAAAAAATGTAAGATGATTGTGGACAGTGTCTTTTACGGTAACGGCATTGTGTGTGTAGTGTGTCTGTCACTGCCTTCATCTCTCATTTGGACTTCGCTCTTGGGAGCCTTTCTGCAGTATTCTGGGGAGTGGTCCACACTACCTGAAAGGAAGTGAACACTGTTGCAGGAGGCTTACTGTTTATAGTTAATAATATCCTTTCTCTTTTTTTTAGCTTTTAATTGTTTCCACTGGGAAATATAAAATATGAGTCTAAAAGAAACCTAAGCCTCAAATGCATTTTATTGGGTCCTCTGTGCAAAGGAGGAGGTGGGATTATGGTTCTTGGTATCACCAGGTATATTAGGAAAAAAAATTTCTTTTTATTCTTTAAAGATTGAAGTAAATAATACCGTAACTTATTCATTTACATGTTTGTTATTACAGCCCCAGAAAATGTATCTTACTGACTTATGATGATCAGTTTGATGAATATGAATCAAATATTTTGCTAACCTTTTCTTCTTCTGCTGTAAGAAAATAGATGGTTGACAGACTTGTGCTGGGGGTAGTTGAAAGCGCCTTTTTTGCAGTTAAATACTCAGGATTTTTGTAAACACAAGGGGAAAATAGTCAAACACAAATGTAGACTACTTTCTTTAAACCTTAGTATGGTGAAAAAAATAAAATAAAATAAACCTTAGTATGGTGTTCTTTCAGAACAGGAATGTTTCACTTACCTGCAAAGGCATTTCTGAAGTTGGGCATATTCATTTGTAAAACACAGAGGGGCCCTGCAGTATATTCTTGTGCAGGTTGCAGATTCTTTTCCCATTGAGAAGAGTTGCCCCTAATTTACTTAAGACTTTTATAATTTAGTTTTCTTAAAATGAGGCATTTATTGACTAGACAAAGCATGTTAAGTAAATGTGCATTTGACTATAGTTGTGTCACTTAAACACATATTTTCCACTCATGTGTGGCTGAATATGCCCTGCAGTTATTTCAGTATCAGTTTCTCTAGCAACCCCTTTCTTCAAGGATGATGCCAAGACATATTTGGGGAGGCCTGGTTTTTGTGTTGTGGCACACAGCATATACTGCAGCTTTAGAAGGGATTTCAGGAATGGTTGGGTGGTGACAAATTTACTAAGAACTCCCAAGGAAGCTTCATATAGCCTTAATTCAGCCTTGCTAGAAAATTACTTCTGATGACAATGAGTATCCTAGTAGTTCCACAGATAAGCTGAGATGGAAAATGTCTTCAAAGGAGACACTTTTTCACCTTGTGTTCACCTACACATTTTTTATGACTTCCACTCCTATCATGCCCAGGCCATCGGAGCCAGGATATTTTTATAACTAGAATGTTAATATGTAATAAAGCTTTGAGAGTGCATGCAGTGGATCTAAGCAGTGTAATCAGAAGCTTGTGCTTTGGTTCTCAGCAATTCTTAAGCTGCTGGTAGCAGAAATAGCCGTGGAAATATTCAAACTGCCTTGCCACAACATTCAGAAAATCGTGTGTCTTTTTATTGCACTCCTTGTCAATAAATAGATTTAGGATTTCTGAAGTTACAGAATTCTCATAGATGGCTGGGAAAATGTCTATACACACTACACACATATAATACACTATGAGTGTGCTAATATGTTTGCTTTTGTTTTTTTTCCTAGCCCATCAAAGCTCCTGAGTCTGTTTCCACTATAATCACTGCAGAATCGATCTTCTACAAGGTAAGCACCTGTAGGGTCACTGAGGGAAGATTTGGACCTGTTGTGTGATATGCTGCCAAATGTTGGGTTAGTCCAAAGGTCTCTGCTCCTCTGTACGGTATGTGATTATTTCTTGTTCTTTTCTAAACTATTTTCCCTCATAGGTGGCTGGTATAAGACATCTCATCCAGAGCTGAGGGGTAGTTGCTTATTGAAACATGTTATTTTTAACTATTTTAAGTATCTCGAAATGCTAACGTATAGTGTGGAGTCATGAAAGAGTGAACCATCCTAGTCACTGTGACAGTCACTGTGTGAGAAGCAGAGTAGGGGCTTGGACTAGTAGAGATTGTATAGACCTGATATCTGGTGGGTAGAGGAGGCACAGAGATTCTAAAATGCCTTTAAGGAGAAGTGAGAGGAATAAGGATAGTGGTGGTGATTAACATCTACTAGAAGTCCATGGTGAAATAGTCCAAAATGTTTTGATACAAGAGTGAGGAAGTCAGGTTTCCTGGGATCCAAAGCCCACAGACATCTGCTACTCCGGAGAGACATGACCTATTGTTATTTTTTAACCAGAAGCCTTAGGAAAGCAGTTGCAACACAGAAAAGAGCCCCAAAACCTGCAGGCCTGGCACAGGCAGCAGCCATTAAATACTGTTGATGTTTTGGGATCTGAATTATCTTTTGGGGGGCAGTGACACAAATTAGTGCTTCATACCTGACTAAAGTGGACCAAACACTGAGAAACTCAAGTGTTATACTGTGTACCTTTTTTGTTGTTGTTGTTAGCCCAGACTAACGGTCTGTATACACAGGCAAACATCTGTCCTGTATTTCCAGCCTTTCATCATTGTTAAGAATAAAATAGCTGAAGTTTAGCATGTGCTTGCTATGCATCAGCCACCGAGGTGAGCATGTCACATGCTTTACTTCATTCAATCCCCTCCATGAAGTGCTGCTGTTATTCCCACTTTATGGATGAAAATAGTGAGGCACAGAGAAATTAATGAACTTGTCAAAGATAAAATAGTCAACAAGTCATGGAGCGAGCTCAGCTCCTGGCTGCACTGGCAAGTGGCTGTGTGACTGGGCTGTGTGGCAACCTCTCTCGTGTTTCTTCATCTATAAAATAGGGATTGTAAATAGCAGCTACCTCAGTGGGTCAAGCAAGATCATGTATGTTAAACACTTAGCAGAGTAAGCACTCAATGAAGAGTAGAAATTGATATCCATCATGTTTTCAAATTTGTGTATCACTCTCACAGCTGAACATACAGTTTACAGATTGAGTCCAGAAGCAGCTGGTTTGGGGGGCACCTGGCTGGCTCAGTCAGAAGAGCATGTGGCTCTTGATCTTGGGGATCTCCACACTGGATGTGGGGTTTACTTAAATAAATAAACTTAAAAAAAAAAAAAAAAGAAGCAACTGGTTTGGCTAAGGATTTAGTGTACTAGTGATTTCCACGCATGTCTCAACTGACAAAAAGGCAATGGCGTGTGGGACCTGTTATCACAAGTATCAGGATTTCTTATCGCTATCTACCATCCACATTTGTTAAACAATAAGGACAAAGTGCAACAAGATATTCGGGTAATGCTGCAGATACCATACCCAGTACTGCAGAGGCCATCACTGCAGTGCCACTGTGGTCAGCACCAGGGCAGGAGAGTTAAAAGGTCACTGCAATCTGTTGAACTGGAGTCCAGATCAGGCATGCTAGGGGGAGCTGAGTGGGAACCACTGGGTCTGATGGCCAAGAGTATGGGCAGCCAAGACCCCAGATGGTTAAATGGCCTTCCTGTGGCAAAAGAGCTCCATGAACCACTCTGCTTACTCCTAATCCAGTGTTCTTCAGTATGTTGTGTTGACCTTCTTTCTTGTCTGCCAAAAACCCTGAAACCTCCCTGCAAATGAAGGGACTCTTTAGATCAAGTACCTTAGTCACGTCCATTGCTCTATGTAGGTACATACACAACACATGTTTATAAACACTTACCATGTGCCAGGTACTGCTTGCCATTGGAATCTTTCACCAAGATATTGTCTTTGCCTTGCAGTTCTGTTTTCACATGATTATATATTTTGAGTTAATATTTATTAAGCATATATTTGAGTGCCTATGATAAGCAAGGTCCTGTTTTTTTATGTGTGAAAAAACAAACTAATCATTGGTAATTTGGGAATAATGATTCTATGTGTAGACAAAGTAAACCATAAGTGTAAAGTATTTATATGACAAAGAACTTTGAGTAGTGTCTACAAGGACCAGATGATGATGGATGTGAACTAGGAAGTAGCAGATGGTAGCCCCCATTAACCCTACCTGTCCATAGTGATCTACATACAGCAGTCAGCCTTAGACACATGAATGAAGGATCCACCTGGAGAAACTCCTGTCACAGTTCACTCACTGCAAGTATTTCTTCAGAATTATTTTTAGGGTTGAGACGCACAATATCTTTAATGGCTTTACCGGCTGCCAAGGCCCTATTTTGAGTGAAGCAGTGATAAATCACACTTGGTTCCTGCAAGTCAAGGATTCCTTCACCAGCTGAGAACCACACGTACCTAAGGAAGTGCTGAGTATCATTTGGATCAGCCATTATAGGTGTTGGAAGGAGAGATTATTTCCTTTTCAAGACCTAGGGGAGAAAACATACAACAGATAGCAGACAGAGTCATAGGGAGGGCTAGACACAGACATGTACAGATTAGTTAGTTGGCTGTGAAGTAGAGTGGGGATAAGACATGAGGCCTTGAGGGGCACCTGGGTGGCTCAGTCGGTTAAGCATCCAACTTTGACTCAAGTCATGATCTCGCAGTCTGTGAGTTGGAGCATCAGGCTCTGTGCAGACAGCTCAGAATCTGGAGCCTGCTTCTGATTCTGTGTATCCCATTCTCTCTGCCCCTCCCAAAGATAAACATTAAAAAAATAAATATAAATAAATAAAAAATACATTAAAAAAAGACATGAAAGCTTGAGTGCCAGACATACAGGTAATTGTCTTGTGGGAGGATATCAAAGTGAATGGGAAAGGACCTATCCTGAAGACTGACTATAATCAGAAGAGTTTCTGTCATTTCTTTGGGTTTGAATTTGTCATGTCCGTTTTCTTTATGGATGCCAATGAGGGAGATGTATAGAGCATATTCTCATCCAGGAAGCACTGCTTTTCAGTACAGGACAGAGAAGGACCACTGAGCTGATAAAGGAGCCCCAGCTGCGTTCTCTGCCTTATGTAGCCTTCAGCAAGTCTGATATGAAAATCTGATATGAAAATTCTGATATGAAATCAAAGTGTCATTATAAATAAATGTTTCCTCCAGATGCAAGTTTCACGTGTGTGTAATTTTCATTCAAGAGTGAAAAACTTCAGGATTGGCATCAACAGTATAAATGTTGATGCATATTAGACCATCTCAAAGGTGTTTTACTGACCACTTTGCAAACTGTTTATTTCATGTTAAGGAGGTTTCAGTTCATAGCTGTGGTTTTTATTTTCACTTCAAATATGGGATTATCTTCTGTCTCCCCCAGGGAGTCTATTACCAAATTGGAGACGTTGTTTCTGTGATTGATGAACAAGATGGAAAGCCCTACTATGCTCAGATCAGGGGCTTCATCCAGGACCAGTATTGCGAGAAGAGTGCCGCACTGACGTGGCTCATTCCCACCCTCTCTAGCCCCCGGGGCCAGTTTGATCCTGCATCGTACATCATCGGTGAGTATGACAAGTGGCACAGGTAAGTCTCCACTACTACATAAAGGAATGTATTAGTCTGCTCAGGCTGCCATAACAAAATAGCACAGGCTGAGTGCCATAAACACAAAACCTGTTTTCTCACAATGCTGGAGGCCAGAAGTTGAAGATCAAGGTGCTGTCAAGATCACTTTCTGATAAGAGCTTTCTTCCTGGCTTGTAGGCACCACCTTCTCCCTAAGGCCTCAAATGGCCTTTCCTCTGTGTGTGCACACTCCTAGTGTCTCTTCCTCTCCTTAGAAGAACATCAGTCCTAGCAAATTAGGGCTCTACCCTATGACCTCATTTTTTTTTTTATTAACTTGTTTTATTTATTTATTTTTTTTAATTTACATCCAAATTAGTTAGCATATAGTACAACAATGATTCAGGAGTAGATTCCTTAGTGCCCCTGACCCATTAAACCCATCCCCCCTCCCACAACCCCTCCAGTAACCCTCAGTTTGTTCTCCATATTGAAGAGTCTCTTCTGTTTTGTCCCCCTCCCTGTTTTTATATTATTTTTGCTTCCCTTCCCTTATGGTCATCTGTTTTGTCTCTTAAAGTCCTCATATGAGTTAAGTCATATGATTTTTGTCTTTCTCTGACTAATTTCACTTAGCATAATACCTCCCAACTCCATCCATGCAGTTGCAAATGGCAAGATTTCATTCTTTTTAATTGCCGAGTAATACTCCATTGTATATATATGCACCACATCTTTATCCATTCATCCATCGATAGACATTTGGGCTTTTTCCAAACTTTGGCTGTTGTTGATAGTGCTGCCATAAACATTGGGGTGCGTGTGTCCCTTCGAGACAGCACACCTGTATCCTGTGGATAAATGCCTAGTAGTGCAATTGCTGGGTCGTAGGGTAGTTCTATTTTTAGTTTTTTGAGGAACCTCCATACTGTTTTCCAGAGTGGCTGCACCAGCTTGCATTTCCACCTATGACCTCACTTAACCTTAATTATCTCCCTAAAGGCACATCTCTAAACACCATCACTTCAGGGGTTAGGACCTCAACATATGAATTTGTGGGACTATAACTCAGTCCATGGCAAAGAAACATAAGTATCATTAAATGTTAAAAAGGAAGGAACTTTATAGAAAATATGAAAGATATTTTATATAGTTGGGGTTTGAGTGCTATCAGTTTTTGAGTTGGGGCAATACATACCTACTAACAAGTGATGTGGATAAGATTTTTCTGAGCGACCCAGGTTAAACTCTATTAAAAGAATTTATTGCTCAGGAGTTAGGCTTATTTAGGCATATTGACTTATAAAAATCTAGTTAAAAATAATTTGAAAAGCAACCATCCCTATTATTTCTGGCATCTTAACAAATTTCATTATGTATCCCTCCACATGTCACACATATTCATCCTAGACATTTATAACATGTCATTGTGTACAGTTGGAATGGCAGCCACTGTACTTTTATGCATTTCAAAGCTGACAAAAGAAGTGGTATAAATGTTTCTCATAGACTTGCAGGAAGAAGTTGCTGATTAATACAGTTTAAAACGTGTTCAGAGTTTTTTGTTTTTTTTTTTTTT